ACCCTTTATTGAAAAAAATTGAAACTTTAGATCTACTCTATGGACACTATAATGAGTTAACCCTGTATTTTTCAGCAAGATCAGAAAAAAAATTTGTCTCGTCACTAATGGGTTAAGTCACATACTCGGTAAATTCTTTGTAAGGGAGAAGACAACATTTTAAATCACCTTAAATGTTCCTTCTCTGGATATAAGAGAAGAGAAGATATGTGTTTCCTCTAAAGTGGTGACCCCAACAGCATTAGGGATAATCTTTGCTGTTTTCTCTTTAGTTATTCCACTAACAGACAGCATGGGTATCTCAATCTATGAAGAGAAAGATTATAAAAAGACAAATAATATGGATTTAATGGTATGATTTTGTGAACTCTTTAAGTCTTTTAGTATCAATTGCGCATAAAGTTAATGTCATTAAAAAAAATAGGGGATTGCCCGATTCACAATTGTACCATTTAAGCCTTTATTTGATCAATAATGTAAAATATATTGTCGTTTTTCTAGGTTGAAAAGTGTTTACTTCTGACACTTTTGTAGACAAACCTCAATTGAAAATGATCAGTATTTTTAAAAAAACATGAATAACTTAAATTTATTCTTAGTCTGACAAAGCTTGTGAATCGGACATACACTCTAAAAATGGAAAGTAACTTGAAGTTATGCACAGATCCTTTTTTACAATGCACAATTCATTGTGTCCTAGTAGCTCCTTTTTCCGTAGTAATACGTCTTCAAAAGAATCTTCCATTCACAATAAAAAATAATCAATTTCAGGATCAATGCTTAATGCTCATCAGTCAAAGGTTTAAAGGGTACCATAGTGAATCTATACTTATACTTATTATGCTATCCTTAATTGTCCTATGAAACTAAGAAAAAAACATGGCATTATTCGAAAACCTTAAAAAGAAATGGAGAACATGATAACATATAGTTAAATTATTTGAAATAGTATTAATAATCTCTTAAATTTAATAATGTGAACCCAACCAGGGTTCATCCCTATTTAAACAATCCTATATAAGTTCCCTGCTTCCTGTGGGAGAAATGATAAATGGTGCATATAAGAAATGCAATCTAAGAATAAAGCCAAACAATCTAGATAGATCCAGTCCAAAAGGTTATTGAGCTCTGGGTATGTTTGTATCTTTAAATACATAACAGTGTAGAGGAACAAGGGTATTGAACCCCCTCTCTTATCTAGAGATAGCAAGACGGTCCCAATTAAGGGTTAGTTAGGGTGAGATCGATGCTGGAGAAAGGAGTGAGGACTAGTCAGTAAGCACAAAGTATCTGATTAGAAGAGTCGAATAAAAATAGATTCGCCCCTGGCGAATGTCATGTATATTTAGATGAACATTTGTTGGTCCAATGATAATTGTTTGTATCGTTATAATGTATATATATATATTAATTATACCATGAGTTTTCCACAGCAGTTCAAAAAATCAATTCTGTCATTTGCTTGTTTAATAAAAAATATTTATAATCAAAACTTAGAATTTAATTTTTGACAATATTAAACCATGTTGATATATTTCATAGTTGATGTTGTTTGATGCAAAAAGTTTTACCAGTATTTTAAAAACCAAGTTATTAAATAAAAATGATTCTGAATACACTGCACAATTTTAATGTATCCAAATACGTTAGAATGAAAAGCNTAGAATGAAAAGCAATGTAGTTTTCTGTAACATAAAGATGTCCTTGTAGCAGAATATCTCCCACCAAAGCACAGGAATATCCTAAATAAATAAACACAAAATTAAAAATTAAAAATCCCAATTTTGCTCATTAGATTTACTTCTTTTTGAAAAATGTTACCAAAAAAGAACTAGATTTCACAAATTGTGTAAAGATATTTTGCAAATTTTTGTTTTTAGTGATAATGTAGTGTTTACCATTTGAATGCAATTGGTAAATCAAAATGGCATGGTAAGTATTTAATTTGCAAACATTTGTATTTTATATTTTATATTTTATATTTTATATTTTATATTTTATATTTTTTACTGGATTTGCTAAAATATTTGGATATTTTCCATTTTATTGCATATTTTTCAATTTTTAAAGGTTTGACAAATTGTTTATCCTAACCTAACCAAGAACGAAACACAAATTATCTCTTTTGGACAGTTATAAGGTTTATTTTAGATTTAAAAATCAATTTTTCGATTATATTTCAAGGTCACTCAAGTTCTCAACATCATATGTTATTAACATTAACTGAATGTTTAAGACTGATATTAATAAATCTATAAAACGGCTTCAAATAAATTGTTTGAAAAAGTTTCAAATACATGTTTTGCAATGAACATGAAACTGAAATGTTTACTTGAAACTGAAATTTGAAAGTACATGGATAGAAAGATAGATAGATAGATTTTGACTACTGAAGATTGTCGTGAATCGCGAAAAAAAATTTATGTACAATTCGTTTTTGAAAAAAAAGAAGTTAAAAACTGAAATAGATAGATTAATAGACAAATTCGTAGATAGATAAATAGATAGATTAATAGACAAATTCATATAGCTAAATAGATAGATTATTAGACAAATTCATAGATAGATAAATAGATAGATAAATAAATAGATAAATAGATAGATTAATAAATAGATATTACTTACTCTGTAAGACTAACTCTTCACTGGGCAGTTGTTTAAAGTTCTTAATAAATTTTTTCTGTCTGGTTCTATTTAGGAGTTGGGACATCTCTGTCTCACTCTCCCCATCCTACAAGTATTAAATAGGTTTAGGAGTTGGGACATCTCTGTCTCACTCTCCCCATCCTACAAGTATTAAATAGGTTTAGGAGTTGGGACATCTCTGTCTCACTCTCCCCATCCTACAAGTATTAAATAGGTTTAGGAGTTGGGACATCTCTGTCTCACTCTCCCCATCCTACAAGTATTAAATAGGTTAGGAGTTGAGACATCTCTGTCTCACTCTCCCCATCCTACAAGTATTAAATAGGTTTAGGAGTTGGGACATCTCTGTCTCACTCTCCCCATCCTACAAGTATTAAATAGGTTAGGAGAAATTAGTTTACTGTAGAGTTTTGTTTACATTTTTTGTCTATTCTGAAAATAGTCCCAAAAGTAGGAGTTTTGAACGTCGAATTTGCGCTCAAACTCAGGATTTACAGATCTTTAACAAGTTTTATAAGTCTCAAATGAATCCTAAAGAAGCTTTCCATAACACTGCATACTCAGTTCAACTACCCTACATAGCCGGTCAGTCCCTTTAAAACTAAATAAACTGCAAAAAGTCTAATACAGTATATAGAAGAAGACATTCAAAACTATTCACCAGCTGTCATGTTTCATGGGACTGATACCACTTGTTCCACAGTCGCATCAAGGTAAACCAGCAATTCACCACAATAGTTTTTTTTATTTAATTACTGAATAATATGGAATCCTTAAATACTAAATCATTTTATTAAGGCTTTATTAAAATCTACTTGCGGATATCTACAACATTACAGGCGAGCTTGAATTTTGCATCATTTTGTGCCTTTCCTGTCTTTATGATTGAGTGAAATGAAATCCATGTTTATTTTGAAGAGAAATCTATTCCCGATAGAAGTTCAAGATTGGAGAGAGGGAGAGAAATCCATTTGAAAACTTTTAGTTTGATTTAAAAGTCAAATGTAGGGGGGGGGGGGATAACGTAATATTCAAAGAAATTAACAAGTTTTGGAACCCAGCTTGGCCTGGAATCAATGTTTTGCCCGTCAAAACATAATAAACCAGGATGCATGGCACGTGGATTTAACGGTTCTGTCAATATTTTTAAACAATTTTTGTCGGCATATGCTTTTGAATGAAAAAGTATAGAATAAACAAATCCGTAAAGTGAATGATTGTTGAATTGTAGACCAAAACACGTTTGATTTCAAATAGAAGAAACCGAATGCTGCTCACTCTGGTTAGTCCGGGGTAATGAGATATATATGATCGAACACATAAAGAAACAAAAACAAAAACAATTTTTTTACTTATAGGTAAAACGTATTTCTAACCTATAATTGGGTCGACACTTGTGTTGAATCACTTTTGATGCAAACAAATATTAATTAATTAAACATTTAATTAAATTCAGAATCTAGGAATTAAGGGGGGGGGGGAAGGGCATAACACGTATTACTCTCCGGGAAATTTAAACAGTGTATAAACATAACTTAGCATTGTCTTAGGAGGCTGATTTTTTCCATGCGAGCTTAAAATTATGTATATTACATACATATTTTGGTTTTGAACGGATCTGGGCAAAAGTGCGCGCGCACGCGCGCTTTTTGTGAAAAAAAAACTTTTTTGACAGTAAATCAATCTTAACTTCATTAATTGCACTTGAACATTTATCCTGATAGTCTTGAAAAAATATGCGCTCAAAAAATTCACCTCAAAAGTCGTAAATGGGAAAACATTAGAAACACTAACCAGAGAAGCAGTTATTGAAGAGGTCATGACCGGTCTACTGATGTCGCTGACCGAGGTATTTATCGGTGACCGGGCCCTGGGTAGACCAGCAGAGTAAGGGCGGGTGTTTAGGTATCCACCCCCTTCCATTGAAGTGGTGGAGCCCTGGAAGCATCTAAAATAAAAATAAAAACGTACTTATTTAACTCAGAATAAACTTATATAAGTACTTTTCCCTTTCATAAAGAGAATACTATAATCCTCTGTAAGTATAACCCCCCCCCCTCCACCTTGTGA